AACTGCGGAGAACTCTGCAAAAAACGCATCTTCGCACGGGCAGCCCGTGCGTTGGCCAATTATTTTTTCCAGCCAACGGGACAGATCTCGGGGAATTGGCTGTTCACTAGACGCTCAACTTTTAATATTCCTAAAAAGATCAACGGCACATTGCACTAGCACTAAAACAGCGTGATCGAACGTGGATATACTATTGCTAAGCGCTACAGCTAAGATGCCGCTAATTTGTCCACCAGAATGAACACGGAACATTCATTTCCAGCGATCATTATCGCATGCCGTAGACGCATTGGAAAGTGGGAAGTTTCTGATGCATGGAATTTTAAAGCATAGGTTGGAACACATCGGGCTTTCCAGTGTGATTATGCGTTTTTGCATCAAACTTGAAGCAAGCAGAACGTTAACTGTATGAATGGTTTTTGCTTTACACTTATCTTGGGCGTCCAAAGCAGAAACTTTTCATACAGTTAACGATCTGATTGATTCATCGTAAATTTTGCAAGAAAAACTGTTTCTGTTTAACAACTGTCCTTTAAAAATGACCTGGCTATTCAGTGAGTAATTTTCCCACTAAAATTTTTAACTGCTTGTACGTGAGAACCTCACGTTCCTAGGAACTGAGATTGATATTTTTACGTTGTACTTGAACAGAGAATATCCCCTTAAAATCCCAGCTTTCCAGTTTCTTCGCTTCCCGAGTTGGCAGTTCTCTCGCCAGAAATTCTCACGCGCACGTAGGCGAGTTCAGCGCGTGCCTGGTGGCTGAGTTTAAAACATTTGAGTAGTGCGTGGACGAGGACATCCCCTTAAAATTTCAGCCTTCCAGTTTTTCTGGTTCTCGAATTAGCAATTTTCCCGCTAAAAATTTCATATGCTTCTACACTGGGCTCGTACATGCGTAAAGGTTGATACGCGGTGTTGGGGTGATAGTCGGCTGAGGGGCCTACTTACAAAATTTCAATGTCGAAGATTGCTTAGTTGCCAAAATGAGAGACAAAAATATACACATACATAGATACACACACCGGGTCATCACAACAATACATGCAGAAAGCATAAAAACAGATAAGTTTTTATCGGTTTGTTCATTTAGTAAAAAAGATAAGCAATAACAGGTCAATGTGAGCTCTGGACTTGAGTTTCGGCACGAGATTGTTGAAATCTGGATTCATATCACTGACACACAGTCTCAAAGTATTTTCCAGATTGTCGTCTTTTAGCTTCATATATGTTTTGGAGCTTATTTTCGCGGGGGGCGCAGAGGCGTGGCGGCATGCAAACTCCCCGCTTAGTTAGGCACCACATTCCGACTTCCTTCGCGGGCCGATTAAAATCGGTCGCAGGTCGAATTAAAATTGGTCGTGGGCTGAATCCGGCTGCCGGGCCGCCGGTTGCCCACCGATGGGTTAATACATGATGATTTTGCATATATTCTCTCCCCTTTCCCGTCTTCCTCTACCCTTTCCCCTTTTTTCCTTCTCGTGTTCTACTTACTTTTCTACTGTGTATATTGAGATTGTACAAAATTTTTTTTGGATATCTCATACGTTTATGCTTAATTGCAGTGGCTGGTGGAATACTTTGGGCAGCTGTCGGTGGAGGACTCGCTCGAGTGTTTGAAGGCAATGCTACAGACAAACATGCGACAGAACCTGCAAATAGTTGTGCAGATTTCAACAAAATACCACGAACAGCTCACCACTCATGCGCTTATTGACCTGTTCGAGTCATTCAAAAGTTATGAAGGACTGTTTTATTTCCTTGGTTCCATTGTCAATTTCTCACAGGATCCTGAAGTTCACTTCAAATATATACAGGTATTTTGTTATATAGGGTTCTTTTTTTGAATTTTTTTTTTCTTTAGTAACGGTTTACAGATGTTGTGAGGGAAGCTGTTGTCAATTCAGCTTCTCTTTGTGACATCTTTCATTGGGCCTACAAGCAAATTTTTTTCGGATTATAAGAATTTTTTCTCCAGGCTAGTAAATGTCATTTTTTTGGGGGAGGGGGGGGGGGACTTTTTTGGCTAATATTAATATGATTAACAGTACCGAGCCAATTCACGTTTCAGGCAGCCACAAGAACAGGACAGATCAAGGAAGTGGAGAGAATTTGTCGTGAATCAAACTGCTACGAAGCCGAGCGAGTCAAAAATTATCTAAAAGAAGCAAAGTTGACCGATCAGCTGCCCCTTATCATTGTCTGTGATCGGCATGGCATGGTGCATGACCTCGTCCTCTACTTGTATCGAAATAATCTACAAAAATATATCGAAGTATTCGTGCAAAAGGTTATTTTTTTTTGCTGGTCCTGGAACATTTGGTGGTCAGAATTGCAAATGGTTTTGTGCAGTCTGTTTATACCTTGCTATGTCTCTTACAAGGATTATGTTTATCAGCAGCTTTGTAGCTGCGGGTAAGATTTAATTGCCTGTGTTAAGTTTGTTGTATGGGCTGCTGCTGCTGCTGCTTCGTTATGACAAATCCAAAAAGTCTTCGCTTGGAGAAATGTGAGTATACCATTGGTTATGGTATTGAGTCGTAAGCAAAGCGTAGTGATAGTGATTATCGATTCGCTTCCTCT